CGTGTGTTAGTTCGAGATTGGTTCTTGAGGTTTGGAGTTCCACACAGAATCCACAGCGATCAAGGTCGCAATTTTGAAAGTAAAATTATACAGGCATTGTGTGCACTTTATGGAATTGCAAAGAGTAGGACTACTCCCTACCATCCAGAGGGTAATGACCAATGTGAAAGATTTAATAGGACATTAAACGATAGACTCCGTACTCTTCCTCCATTTATGCCTATAACTGTACTCCACATTCCTCAACTGGGTATTCCCCACATTATTTGTTCTTTGGTAGAGAGCCTGTTCTCCCTGTTGACCATGTTCTTGGCATAGAAAACAGTGATGACATTGGAAATGGTCAAGTTGAGGATTGGATTTCCAAGCATCATGAACGATTGATGGGTGCATTTGAGAAAGTGTCCGAGAAAAGCGAAAAAGAAGTGTTGCGAAGGAAAGTTAGAAATGATAGAGATGCAAAAAACACTGATCTACCAATTGGCGCAAGAGTTTTTTTACGCAATAGAAGTGTTAAAGGTCGCAACAAAATACAAGACGCATAGAACTCTACACCCCATAAGGTGGTGAAGCGATTGGATACTGGAGGCAACACCTATGTGGTAGAACCACTAGATGGAGATGGACCAAGAAAAACTGTGCATAGAGGCGAACTTTTAGACTCCCGAAGCCTGGTGAAAGATGTACACACAGAAAGTAGTAATGAAAAACATGATGTGACAGATGATTATGGTGATAATGTGAGTGAAGATTCGAGTGAGGATGAGTATGACATTGGCATAAAGGTTAGTTGTCTGGATGGCGGCGGTGGTAGTGCTAGACGTCATGACAATCAAACCAACAGATTTGTACATGGTGGTGATCATGCCATAGACAAAGTAGGGAAGCCTCTTTCTGGATCGTTCAAAGCACTTAAACAACCAATTGTGGAAAAGCCAGAAGGTATTCCATTGTCTGTTATATCGGGTGAGGATAACCCGGAAGAGTTAGTTGAAGAGCCTCCCACTGTAGCTGCTGCCAGTGAACCAGTAAAACTGAGACGTACAACTCGTGCAAATGCTGGAACACATTCGAATCTCCACCATCTACCCGAATCCGCGATCCAAGAAGTTAAAGCTACTCCACAAGTTGATCTACAAGTAATCGCTGATATCGCCAAATCAAATTTACTGTTTATGCAAGTGCTGTCAGGAATGGCACATAATGTTAATACATAATACTAATTCATAAGATTTGTAATTTTGGGCAGTGGACAGGTCTGACGGATCTGTATGGGAAATGTGAGACAAGCCTTGGGGTCGCACCTTGACAAGTGAGAGTAACCCTGCAGTCGCCCTTACTGGGGATACAATTATACATAGTTACACAACATAATCACACAGCTTTGTAAATCAACTGAAACGGTTGCTGAGGACATCAACCACTTAGGTAGGGAAGTGTGTGACAGGTCAAATGCATTAACATTCTAATTAGCCTTGTAATTTACTTTGCGTATGCGCGGTGGTGCTCAACTTGACATCCAGTCAGTTGGTCACTGAGATTTGCGGCGTGAGCATCGTTTTGAAACCACTGAGGGAAGACAACCCATGCAGTATTTCCCATCTACTTTCCACGTTTATGGATTTACTTTCGGTAAGATGATAGCTAATATTTGAAACGTATTTTGTAGCAATTTAGTGTAAACATTGTATATTTCGTTAACTTGTAAAAAACGAGTAGGAGCGTGTACCCATTGTTTGCACAGAACAACGTTGAAAGCCCATTTTTCACCTGTTCATCGTGGTAATTAGTTATTTGAGATACATAAACTTATTATGAATTGTTCATTTGCTTATTGTATTTGCGTAATATTTATGTAATATTTATGTAATATTTATGTAATATTTATGTAATTGTAGTTTTTCTAAATGAGAACTGGTTCGAGTTTGTGGCACTGTTTAAATGTGCGAATGGTAATGATTCAAGTTTAGCAGTTATCACGACTCGTTTATTTGTTCTAAATTATTGTAGGTGTGTTTGCGTGTAAAAAGAAACTATGTAATCATATAGGGCGTCACTGAATTGTACTGGTTGGGGTGAGTTTATATACGCTTTACTCTAGTGCAATATTATTTCTGTGACTCGCATTAGATGTTATTTATTTATATTCATGAAAAAAGGAAGTCTCTATGCGTCGACTTGAGTCTATTGAGAGACATGATTCAGTTTATTGTGTAGTTTGTACATTCAGTACTTACATAGTAGCTAAACTATTCTATTTACATATCATGGTTTCTACTTGGAATTATGATCTCCATACCTCCAATGGCATTGTATTAATCTTGACTATGTATTGTATTTATGTAGGTTTCAGTCGTGTTAACTTTCATAGTTGCTCATATTGGAAATTAAAAGAACGCATGGTGACTTGACATCTGCCTGGTGTCATATTTTCTGCGTTACAGTCACATAACAAAACAAGTTTTTTTTGGAGATATCAATACTTTAAAAATGTGAAACAATTGAGAAATATGTGGTAACCATTTTACCTGTCCACTGTGTATTGTCACTGTAACAATCAGAACAAAAACACAGTGCTAGTCTCCGAATGAACTCTGACATCTGATCATTAAAAAGTTGTGATACTGCCTGTAACATAATTGGGATATATGCAAATTAGTCAGTCACATATGGTAATGAAAATACTGCCTTCAATGGTAAATAATAACCTCAATAGTAAATAATGCTCTTAATAGTAAATAATGCCCTCAAATAGTAAATAGCTTTTAATGGTAAATAGTACTCTCAGTTGTAAATAGTGCCCTTCAAGAAATATAGACCCCTCAAATACTGTATAACACCTTCAATAGTAAATAATGCCCATAATGGTATTTAGTACATTTAATGGTAAATAGTGCCCTCATGAGTGAATAGCCTTTAATGGTAAAAATTAACACTAAATGGTTAATAGAGAGTACAATAGAAAATCAAAGATAGTTCAAAAACTTCTGTGTGTAGAATTGACCACAAATGAAAGATTAATGTACCTTTAAGGCACCTATAGAGTAGTTATCTGTTAATGCTTTCAATTCTTCTTCTACATTTTGACTTTCCTGGAATAAAAAACACACACTTAACAACTATATATAAATATTTGTGATAAATTTGAGGTATGTAAATGTGTCGAAATGGACATAGTGCGAGTGGTTAGTGCTAGTAGCACTAATCCGAAAAACTACTAGATCTAGTGCTAAAATGGTACTAGATCTAATGCTAAACGGCACTAGATCTAATGCTAAAACAGCACTAGATCTAGAGCTAAAATGTACATAGTGCGAGTGGGATTGATATCGCGTTGTCAACGACGTCAAGACATCCCGTAATTCTCTGAAAATAAATTAATATTTATGTAAAATTGTTGTATCTTTCATTCATTGGAAATGTGCTACAGTGGGAAAATTGAGAATGTCATTGTCCACGTTTGTCGTAATAGACCTTTGGAACAACGCGATCGGCTGGGAAACTAGCTGAAACAGTGAAACTGCAGGTCGAACTTCGCAATTTTTACAAATTGTGAATAGATATACTGTATGAAATGGTATTGTGGGGAAGTTTGTGTTTTCAACTTTGGCGAATGGAAACTTTATGTAAATGGTGGAATTCAGCGTTGATTTTTTTAAATCTCTGATGTGCCGTTTTATTTCTGGTCGGCGCCACACTTAATGAAAATAGATCTTCGAAAATGAAATTATGATGCCATATGTGAACTAAATAAAAAATTGGTATACTCCTAGTCTAAGTCCCGGGTCCTGTAATGCTCGGTGGATTTTGTGTGTACTGCGACCTGTGAATGGGCATATACATATTCACGCAATCTTGTTGTTACCTTTCTATCATGGAGGAACTAACGGAATATGAGGAACCTCGCCGATTTTTTGATTTTTTGACGTGACCATATTATATATGTCTGAACACTTTCTCTGCAATAATATTTGTTAGGAGCCCTTAGAATGTTTTGTTGTAGACTCTCGAAATCTTGTTCTTGCTACAGTTGCTAATAATTAAAACATGTGAAGTAACAAGTTCGTCTGTTGAATTTCCGGTTGTAAAATACGTATTTTAACCCTTCACAGCTAAACAAACCGCCCAGAAATCGCTCAGGGCGAATTTTCGACAGTTTTTAAATTTATTTTTTAAAATATTTTGTCGTAATTTATCGGACATTTCAATCGTCCCTTACGCCTAAATCAGTCTATTTAAGTTTTTATTCAAGAGCGTGTTTATTGTGACTAGCGTAAGCTCAGTTTGGACAAAGAGCTGTTATCACTGTAAACAATGTTAAAGTATTCTTCTTAGGGAACTGA